CAGAGACATATCACCTGAGAACAACGGTAGCTTTATAACTAAGTGTTACTTGTGTTGTTTCTAATTGTTTTCACTCTTCAATTGTGACTTTTCTTGCATACAAAGTAACGTATAAAATCGAGTTCTTGTGTAAGTTATCTACAAAATAAGTTGGCGACCAAAATTTACGATCTGGCGACCAAAATTTTTCCGTTAGTCGCCAGCTGGCTCCCGAACGAAAAAGTTAATTTCGAGCCCTGAGTGGACGTCATTTGAGACTTCAGAAGACATACTCATCATGCTTATGTTACGAGTTATGCTACTGTCAGTTAAAGCAATTCTCTATCTATTTCGCGATGGAAAAGTAACAACTTCTTTGTTAGATTTTCGATGTAGATATTTAAAAGGATGGAGATGTCAGAGCTCTTATAGTTAGTTGTCAATACATCATTACCTGTTTAAAGTATTTGAGGGAGTACTGGTACATAGTGTCCACCTCAGCCATGCTGGCCACAACAAAGTACATCACAGAGCCGCGTGTGGCCACTGGACGGTACTTCTCACGAGCGGCTGTTATCTTCTCCTCAGTCATTTCAGCCTCTTTCAGCCGAGTACTTATCACTCCTGAGGTGACCTGGGTAAAAGGAGTAAGGAGTGTTACAGAATCTCAAATCAGAGCTGACAGTAAAAGCTTCATTTAAGACGGTCATGGGGCCTAACCTTTGACTCGTTTAGAGTGTTAATAAGCACTTCATCGTCTAGTATGTTTCCTTCCGAGTGGAATAACAGTTTAAGAATTCTGTCCTCGATGGCCTTCAACTGGTTTTTATCGGAGTTTATTCGTACAATAAGCTGATTTCTCTGATCTTCCAGATCTGGCCTTTCAAGACGAACAACATCACTGTACAGATAAAAAAAAAAACAATTAGCATTTGCATTCCTTTGCCTCTTTCGGCAGTATAGTAATATTTTTCGAAGTAATATTATGTTTCAAAAAACTTTGTTTTGAAAACAAAACAACTCAAACATCAACAAATGCACGCTAAAAACTGAAATTAAGTAAAGATGAAATTATCACCTAATTACAGTTGAGATGAGTATTGAAAGAAGAAGCTCTGGGCACTAGTTAAGCACGCTTGGATGTCTGGGATCAGTTAGAGAACAAGATGATGACAGCCAATGAACTCTTGTCTTTACAATCGAGATAAAGCCCTGCAGTATTTGTAACGTGACATTGATGAATTTTTTTTGTTTAATGCCACTTTCAACTCCCAGAGGCAATTGTGCAACCAAGTTTCCAGTCCACAGGAGGCTGCGTGGCCGAGTGGTCAGCGTGTCGGACTCGCAATGCAGCGGTCCCGGGTTCGAGAACCGCTCTGACCAATACCTGGATTTGTTTCTCGGCAGCCCCGAGTTCAAATCCTAGGCCACGCTTGTAAATAGCCAACTGGCTAGCCGCCGGCCAATTGGGATTCTTAACAATGTTATGTTCAATTTGAGTTATTTGTTTCAGTTGTTTGCTCGGCCCCACTAGCACTTGTGCTATAACACTGCCGAGGGTAAATATAGGTCATATATATATATATATACAAATTTTTTTTTCCACCGTTACACAATGCGATGATAGAAACAAACAAACAAGCAATCATTAATCAGAGTGATGACGCCATTATACCTGAGCAGCTGATCCTCCAGGCCTGACTTGGTGACAGTGAAGTTGATGATAGTTACTTTGATGCATACTTCTGGCAGATAGTGAGGGTTCGCCAGTTTAGTTGTCATGTAGAACCTTCAAGGAGAAGGAGACCGCAAAGTTATAAATGCATGCCATTATATATTTATGACTAGTTCTGCAAGCGGAAAAGATGAACCTTATCTGCATTGTGATCGGCTACCCGAGCGAGCTATTACATACTGTGTCTCGCTTGAAAAATAGTGGCCTGTATGCCATACGCCATCTTTTATTGACTAAGTCTATTCGGTCAGGATGGCTGGATATTGAGCTCGACCTTTTCGTTTAAGGACCTCAACTGAATCTTGGGGCACAAACAAGCAAAAACAGTGATATTGGCTAAGCCATCGTGACCTCACTTTCAGAAAATAAGCCATATTATTCTTCGACAAGTTTCTTTTTTCCTGTTTTCAGGACTTAATGTGGTTTAAGTTCAAATTATATTGCACATAGCATAACATAAACTACGTGCGATTAACTAAACCACCATAATACTCAGCGGTAACAATCTCCCACATGATAACTGAGGGGAAGACATACTTGAAGTTCTTGTCATAATCGATATCACTGTCGCCAAGACGGATCAATAGTCGACCACCCTGCAAGAGAAAAGACCATGATTAACAATACTGTAAATAGAGCGGTTTTAAGTTGAGTGTCGAAAGTAATTAGACAATTACTTTGGTTTTGGTTTTGGTTTTACTGCAGTTTGAGATTAGAGCGGTTTTCAATTGAGAGTCGTAAAACCAAAACCAAACCAATTACTTACCAATTAGACTACTCAGCCAATCTCAGACCGAAGTAGAACCAAAACCAAAACCAAAGTAATTGTCTAATTACTTTCGACACTCAATTGAAAACCGCTCTAGCTGAAGTCTAATTGGTAAGTAATTAGTTTTAGTTTTGGTTTTACGACACTCAATTGAAAACCGCTCTATGTGATACGGAAAAACTACAATCGTGTTTACAACGTGAATAATAATCCCTGAAAACCAAGAATTAACCGGAAAGATGATTATTGACTCTTAAGAAATAAATCAAGAATTGATTCCCGAGAAACGGAATACCTACTCTTTTTAACTGGATAATGAAGCATCGTGGAACAGAAAGAGATCTGGCCGGGATGGACGAGGAAACTGATTCCGCGTAAGGGGCGACATGGATATGTTTCTGACAGTCTAGTTCTCTTGAACGCAAACGGCTCTCATTCGTACTTAGTAAGATAGATCCTTTGAGCTAACGAGCATGAAACTAAAGTGTACGCTGACAAGTTGAAAGTTGTGGACATTTCTCCATAGGGTACGTAGAATCTAATAATACACCTTAGGGTGGCACAAAACAGTTTCCAGCACTTTCCGATGCTTTAGGCAGGTCATTCTGTTGCTATGGTGACCTATTCTGTCATAAGAATGATAACACTGACTTCATCAATGATTGGGCAGTTTTTTGATACCATGATTGTAGCATCAGCTAATAAAGAGTGGTTATATTGACCATTTAAGAACTAAGTCTTGGAAAGTGCTGGAAACTGTTTTATGCTACGTTAAAATTGAAGTTGATCCTTGGAAAGCTGTACTGATACTTGCAGTAATACATTTAAACAGGTTAATGACTTTTGAAAACTAAGCATGAGTTATTATAAAGTATGACTGATCCCTGGAAAGCTTGTAGTGTTCTTTATAAACGGAGTATTGATCCTCGTAACTCCTACCTGTACGAAAGTCTGTTTCAACAGGATAGGTTCTAGAGCGGGGTCCAGGGTCTCGCCGACTTCCTCCAGTAACACAGGCATACCAATGCGAATACAGTTCTCAAGAGTGCGCAGGAAGTTCTGGTCAGTCAACTTGATCACTTTCAGACCATTCTTTGCTTCTTTTGCTCGGATCCAACGATTGGCCTCAATGTTTTAACAGAAGAAAACAAAAACAATGATTGCAGATAGTATTTCTGAGGAAACTGTTTCGTCAACTAACCTTCTAATGGCTCGAAACCTGATTAAGTTATTATACCAATGTTCGTTAACAATATGCTGTATTTTTAATAATTGTGTGTATATTTTTGTCAAGAAAATTTCTAAGCAGTCTGACCTGATCTTGTGGATCAATCATCAAAGGCCAACGACGACCTCGGGTCACCAAAATGGCGTTCTCAATGGACACCTGCAAGAAACGTAACATTAAAGGCATTAACATTACAGTTCCGTTCAGTTTAAACAATGCGAAGAGTGTCTTGGTAGTATATACGCAACATTGCTGAGCTAGCAGCCTCTGTAACTTCATATGAGATTGTACACGAGACAAAGCGAATGGCTTGAGAGTGGCAATGAATTCCATTCAGTATTACATACTACTCGCGGCAGTCCCTTTCACGATCGCTGAATAAGAGGTGGGAAATGCTCCGCGCCCAGCAGTAGAACGTTTAATAAGGCCTTAAGACCCAAAACAATTGCCGATACTCACGAGCAAAACCCAATATTTAAACTAGAAAATCCTAGCCACTTAAAACTTAGACGAAAGGCTAGGCAATTGACTGAGAGGAAATCGTAAATAAAATATCCAAAAGCTGTCAGCCCTTGTGTGGTGAGACAGGATAAATTACCAGGGATAAAGGCACATCAGTGCTAAAGGAAAAACAAAAAGGCGCGGACGAAACGCGAGAGAACCAACCCAATGGGGGGCAGGCTGAGCGTCAGTAATCCGACTAGAGCATTAGACACCCTTTCAGGCTACCATATCAATTCAACGCTCGTGAGACAAAGAACATACAACAAAAACATTACTAAATATTACAAACCAAGAATAAGCATGCCCACTAAAGGGAGCCGAGGGAAAAGAACTGCACAAACCCGATGTACGTATAATAAGAACATTACTGAATACAACAAACCAAGAACACAAGCGTGCAAACTTGAAGGGAGCGCAGGGAAAAGCACTGCACAAACCCAGCGATAGTGAGGCAAAACACGCATAGAATGATAAACAGTTCTGCAACTTCACAGTAAAAGCGTGCAAATACTTAACGGGCGCAGGGGAAGGGAAAGCCAACAAAACCAGGGAGAAAATGTGCGCAAAAACAAGGTAGTAAACGACTAAAAGCAATAGACCACAAGAAAAAGTTTAGTTGTATCAGTAAGGGCGCCGGATTTGGACCTCCATAAACTGGACGTGCTGCAAACAGTCATTTCAGTTGAAGGACTCTATCAGACCCTCTATTTTCTCCAGCGCCTGTGATGAATACTAATTCAAAGAAACATTTCAACTTACTGAATCTCTTGGAAGGCCATCTGCATTCCACTGCCTTATCTCGTAGGGATCGACCAACACATTGATGAGACTGAAGTCATCTGACACAGGAATTTCCAGGTCTTTACAGCGTGCAATCCAAGATGACACTAGTTCATGACGATAAAGACTTGTAAACGCTCCAAAGTACGCCACGCAAGCAGCGGCGACGAAAACGTTACCAACCACGTTACCAATCTCTAACTCGAATGCCTGTTGTTGTAAGGGACAGGAAGTAAAACGATACCATCGTAACCATCAGATGTTCCCATACGTTAAAACAACCTTACAAAATGAACTGGTGCAACCTGCGATATACAACTGCTACATCCTGGGGAGTCAACCTAGGCTCTTCATGCTTTACTTCCAGAATGTGAAGCGTTTTTGTTAAAGATACTATTTTAGACAAATAAAATGTGCCATATCTTACCGCAACGTTCTCCGTCCAACGTCCTTGTTCATCTCCTAAAGCTGTTGTCAGCTTTGATGCCCTCTTCAAGCGAGCCGCAGTCTGTGCAATATTCTTGGTCAGCATTTCCTTCTCAGCAATGCTGTTATCGTAAGCTGCCTGAAGCTCTGCAATCTTTGTACGTAAAAACATGTCAATAATCAGCGAGACCCGAAACTCTACGTGCTTACGAAAAGATGAACACTACTTATTCACAAGGGAGTCGGAATATGCGTGGAAAGGGAAATTTGAAATGGTGCATAATTACCTTGGTAGTTATAGAGCAAAGAACCCCTCACCTTAAACAAATTTCTTTTCTAATTTGACCGCTACCTTGCTGTCCGCTCAATCGCAAGTAGACAAAGTCATTTCAATTGGCTCTGAGGCACCTCGAATTCTTCTATCTTATTCCAACACGTTTCGGAGCCAGGTTAGAATTTCAATATATCGAAATTGGAGTATATACCTTCTCTTCCACAGCAGCTAAACTGTCTTGCTTTTCTTTTAACGTTGCCATAACTGCATCCAATTCCACCTGGGCAGCGGCAAGTCTGTGGATAGAAAATATATCATCAGAATATTGTGTAAATGTCTCCAGATATGAATGATTGAATTAACGAACGAACGAACGAATGATTCAATTGATGGATGGACGGACGGACGGACGAATGGATGGATGGATGGATGGATGAGGAGTGGTTAAATTGACAGTGGCACCCAGCTGGCTACCGAGAACAAATCCAGGTAGTGGCAAGAAGGGGCGTGGAGAGCTTGAACCCGGAACCTCCAGATTACAAGACTAGAACCGGGTTGTTCAAAGCTGAGTTAAGAAAACCCAGGGTTACTGCGAAATGTGAATTCCGATATGAAAGCTTAAAAAGCAAATTGAGTTTAATTATTTTTGTCTACAATTTGACGATTGGATGCTCTAAAACTAATAGAGAAAATTATCGGAGAAAATGCTTTTGAACAAAAAACAAAACAAAACAAAAAACAAATACCGGATTAAAATTTAACTCCGGGTTTGCGCTAATCGGCCTTCGAACAACTGGGTCCTGCGCCCTAAACCGCTCTGCCAAGCTATCTCCAGTTCTCCCCTTCGTAACATTATCATACTTTACCTCTTTTTCTTGGGCTCGACAGTACGAAAAACTCGAGCGTATAAATCCATAGCACGGACCCACATCACCATGGAACGGCACGCCTGAAGCAAAGACAATAACATTAACTTTTCTAGCTCTCAAAAATTCAGCTTCAAGTAACTCCTTCCCCCACTCCCTCCCCCGAAAAGCACTTACGACAAACTCTACGGCTCACAGTAAACGAGTAAGTACTAGAAACAAGTAACCGATGAAAAGAAAAAAAGATCACGGATGAAAAGATGCCCAACCAATACCGTGAGTTACTGGGCACCAGATCGGACATGATCTTCGCTCTGATTGATTGGAGCACACTAACACACACTACACGTTTTTCTTTTAGAACTAGTTGCAGAACTCATCCAACGCAAAAATAAACAAATAAACAAACAAAGATAAAATGAACACTTGCCATTTAGAATAAGACAAACAAACAAACAAACTCTTACGTGGAGCCACAAAACATTCTGTTAATTAACCAACCTTGGAAACTTTCTCTACATTTTCTGGTGTAAACTTTGGGTTATCAATGTATTTTTTCAATTTTTTCAACGTCGAATCACCAATATTGTCCTGAAATAATTAAGAACGAAGACAGCATGAGAGGCTACAATATATTTGACGGCTAGCATTGACTAATAGCAAAGTCTTTATAACAAGTTTAATTAAGGACTCAGTCGAATGAAAGACTTGATTTAGAAAAATTCTCCGAAAGAGAAGTGCAGTCGAACCTCCACTAACGGCCTTCTCTCCACAACAGCCACCTCTCTACAACGGCCCCTTCCTCAGTCCCCAAGGTGGCCGTTGTGGAGATGTTCGAAAAAAAGCAGCAAACACAGAATCGTGATGGTAATACAGGCACTTCAACGGTTAACTTACAGAAAACCTAAATGGTAGGAACACAACCCCCCCCCCTCCACCCACACACACACACACACGCTCGAACATGCACATGCACACTTAGAATTACTTGCAAATACCCAAAAGACATGCTGATGTTGTTGAATGCAATGATCTATAATTTGATCTACAAATGCTTCCAAACATATTTCATTTGCAAACATAGATTTTTCAAAGAACTTCAAATAAAGGAAGAATGCACTTTACCTTGTTGTATTCCATGAGTTTAGACAAAAATTTGGCGTCTCCCAGGATAGTCTTTGCTGTTGCCCAGTCAGGTCTACCAAACGAAGGAGAAAGGAATGAAAATAGCATTTGGTTTAGCGTTGAATAGTTTGTACACAAGCCTGAGCATATTTTCCTTGCCCTGAACGGACTGCTAAAAGGACTTGACATACAACAGTAAATCCCTAGAGTACAAAAACAACAAAAATATCAACAGAGATGTAAACTTTACACTGTCTACCATGCTACGTATTCTATATAACTGATCAAATGAAGTCACTATTCAACTCACTTTGCATTAAGTAGAATACAGATAGACTCCATAACCGTCATGACAAGTTCCGGGGGGCTGGTGAACACACGTAACTCAGAAATGTCGGATTTGTCCAAAGAGTCCAGGGCCTGGGGACGACAAAGTCATTTGTCAGAATAAGTAATAAGTTGATGGAATAAGCCTTTTACTACTACTTTCTAAATTATAACACGATTTAGGTGGAGCAGAGAGCAACAATTTCTTAAAAATAAGATGACAAAACGAATCGTCTCTAAATTTATGAATATAAGTGGGCTTGTATGGGTGTCTGGACATGTTCGACCCTAGCCATAAGACTTCAGATGTCCAATACTCAAACTAGTGTACTGACGCTTTAAAGTTGTAAAATTATAATCTGCTATCCCTTTTGTCGGAATAGTTTTCTAGCTGCTCGTCATTTCAGGACTTTACTCGCACCTTGTTAGCAGCATCAAGAGCAGGCAGAGCTTCGTCCAAGTCCTTCTGCGCTTCGGCCGCGATAGCCTGGGTCTCGTCTGCCTTTCCTTTGGCCACTTCTTCTTCTGCTGACACAACCTTTCGCACCTGTAAATGAGAAAAAAGAACAGCTTTATCGTGCACTTGCACCGTGTACCTATTATTTTAAAAATTCTTCAACCAAAACAATGTAATTGTAAGGTTTATCGCGAACAAAGTGCGCAATAATTAATTGGAGTAGTAGGCAAACACAGAGGAAAATAACAAAGGAACAAAACTTAACATAGAAACCAACAAGCTCTATTTGTCAACAATTTTTCAAAACAAACATTACAATCCTCCGTAGGAAAAAAAGATGGCAACTGATACATTTACCCATAACTTTTAGCGTACGAAAACTTTAACAATGTCCCAAGAAAAACGTACAAAAAAGCTCTAAAACCTTTGAACCAAGTATACCTAGTATACCTAGCATACACTATGTCGTTAACACAGGGACAAATATCGCAAAAAATATGGCTTTCCGTGTACTTTATGGGCTGTATAAAGCTTGCATGGTATTTTGGTACAATGTACCGCCGCCATCATTTTTCCTACGGAGGATTGCAAACAGAGTCGCATAATCAGTGAGACGGTTAAGCTTAAAGGCAAGGCAAACAGAATGTCTGTCACACTAACCTTATCAGCTTCATCTTGGTCAGTCTGTAGTTTATCCATGAGTTTTTCCACATCAAGTGACTTTTGTTTCAACTGTGGCTCCAGAGCTACTAATTCGACCTGCATGTTATCTACTAAGTCGTTAGTTTCTAGAAGCTTCTTCAAGCCATTCTTCACGCGGTCACGCGCACCAATCAGCTGCCTGAAAAATACATGATTGAATACGTCTGGTTACCAGTTCTCTATCATGCCAAGTGATGTTGCTAAGGAAATACCACAGCAATCATAGGAAAAAAACATACTTTCAGTCTGTTAGAGTAGTTTCGGAAAATTGTGAAAAATAAGACTGAAATTACGAGCAAATAAAATACCCCCATCAAATCAGTTTAAGTAGCATGCAATTGGTATTGAAATCTTTCCTGTTTTTCACTTTTAGTCACGAGCTTGAAATAGTAATTCTTCAATGTAAGGAGAAATCATATATTAGCGGATCACTTTTGAAGGGCTACGAAATGGTGTAGTACCTTCTTTTATCATCTAACATGGTGAGATACAGGTTTATAAGCTCCAGATAACTTGTTGGTGTCGTATAATATCGGCGACGCAACTCAGCGTAAAATCTTTCTGCCATGGAACTGACACTTGTATGGGTTTCCACACACAGTTCAGCTACTCTTTCCTTTAATGAAAAAGACAAGAAAAACTTAAACCATCAGGCTCCATTGTAACGCAGAAAGCATAAGAAAGGCAAACTAATAGACAATTAGTTTAACAACAGATATATTGTTACCTTAACATCCCCTGCACCCAGATCTACTTCTTCGAAAAAGTTCTTCGAAACAGACAACAGCGCTTCTCTGCAAAGAAACGGCGTTTAATGACGAACTACTGTTAGTCCCAAATTATAGATGAACATTGCTTAAAACACTTTTCCGTGGCTTTCTTATATTAAGGTAAATTTATTTCTTCGAGTAAACTGCACTAGACTGACCTTGGCCACTCAGTGAACCAGTCAATAGTACAACAGTTGACCAGAGATGGGAACATACGGCAGCGAGTACGGAAGGCATCTCCAACAGGACTCATACAGAGCACTACATGAAGGTTATTACGCACTCGGCTGATAAAATAGTTGAACACGCTATCCCTAAGATCAAGGAAAACAACAGCAAAAATTAAAGTCTCTACAACGTAAAGTCAACTGCAACTTTACTTGTTCAACATTGACACAGCTTAAAGTAGACAAACACCAAAACAACTGAGGGCCTTCTCATGACAGTGTTGTGTATTTCGTATTGTTTGTGTTACTTGTATGTGGCAGTCATTTCTCACCTGTCACCTTCAGGAACGCCTGCTTCCTTGGCATGTGGTCGAGTTCCATTCAACACTTGCTCATATTCCTCTGGTTCAAACAAGTTAGGGACCTGGTATGCAATCACAGTGTAACATATCGCACCATTGCTACCCACTCGTTCCATTACTTTTCAAAAACAGTTTTGACATCTTCTTTTTGATTTTCGTTACTTCTGAGCCAGTTTAACGAACAAATAAGAATGATATACAATGTATCGGCTTTGACATACCACCCATCAAAAAACTTAGTTTTCGATGGCCAAGCAGTAGGGAAACAACACAGAGATGGCAAAAAGAAGTTATAACTGAATACAAGCTTAGTTGAATGGCAACAAGATGAGTTGATAAGGTGAAAAAGTTCGTTTTCAGTAAAATTACTGTCTGCAGAAAATTGAAGACTAAAACAACCAGATTTACTTCAGTATCATTATGAATTCAATAATTCATACCTCGCCAGAGTTCAAAATGTTATTGATGTCTTCAAGAAATTCCTCAACAACGATCTACATGGAAGGCACACAAATATTAAAGAAATATTATGGGATAGTACCTTTACTACCGTTATCTCCCCGCGCTTCTTTTTTAATTTCAACCTTGGGTTCAATTTGAAGGCACAAATTTAAGGGTGATCCAAAAACTTTTCTCATACGATGGCTGATTTTACCAGGTCAAGGTTTTTTTCTTTTCTAAACATTGTTTTGGGTCGCAATATCCCCAAAATTGATGGGCCTGTATTAAATAAATTAGGTCATTTAATACGAACACATTATCAACCTGTTATCTACCTGTGTATCAGTGAATAAGAACACAGTATTTTTTCCTTCCACTCCAGCAGAGTTATAGAGTTTCTTCAGATCTTCTCGGAAAGCCGAGTAGTCATAACCACGAGTCAGCTCGATTTGGAAACAGAGGTAACCAGACATGTGGCATGCCAACCTGAAGTACAAAATATGTCAAACATTACTTGACTACAAAGCTGAATCTATCATCATCCTAATAATTATCGCCAAAATATCCAGACTGTTGTTATAACATGGTGGTACACTTATCGTGTGATTTTCTCTCCTCTTATCACCTGTGAGACTGATCATAATTACTGTGGTAAGACAAAACACATTACCTTGTAAGACTCTGTTTCCCAGTTCCTCCAACACCAACAAGCAATGCGTTTCCACGCGGCTGACGAACCATACGAGCAATTCTACAAAAAAGAAATATACCTCAGTTGATTATGGTGGTTTACTTGACCCCCACACTCTAACTTTAATATCTATCGACCAAACACGCATATTTTAAACATAAGAAAAGCGTAACTTTATGTTATGTTATGTAAGTCTGTAAAAAAATGCATATGTGTACGTTCTAGTGCCTCACCTTGAGACGTGTTCTATAGCGTCCATAAAGAACACCAGCTTCATTTCTTTGGAGGAGTTCATGTTGTAGTCATCAAGATACTAAGTAAAACACCAAATGAGATTATTACGAATCTATTACGAGCACTTAATCGTGCCTTTTTAAACGATCTTCTCAACGGCAACCACGCTAAACGTGGATTAAATTCTCAAAACAGAGCAGACTAATGACTTTCTATTGGCTTAAGTCACTCTGCAGTACTCAGTTCCTGATCCTCCTTCTTTGAATTTAACTGAGATTTGACCCATCAAAACAATTCATGATCATTTTAAAGTTAGCAAATTGTGAAATTAGATCAACAAGATCGTACAAATTTTCGCGACTGACCTGACGCCTTGACACTTTATTTACACGAAAAGCTTGCAAACACTATTGCTAGTGTTGTCAGCTCTCTTCCAGTGGTTACCTTAACGACTCCAAAATGGAATTAGAAAAGTAAGGATTTATCTGATGAAAACAGAATTCACCAACCTTTAAAATCTTTCTGCAGGTTATCATTATTTGTTTATCAGAAAGTTAGCCTTGAGTCGTAATTGTAATCCCAAACATTGAGCACCTAATAAAGTGATCTTACATCAGTCAGAAGCGATTTCACTTTTGAGACATCAGCCAATTCTTCATAGATCCTGTCAGCCGGGTCAGCGCCCATTTTCATGAAATCTCCAAACAGGATAGGATTCGTCTCAAACGTCGTGGGTTCCACATTCTAATTATGATAAGGACATAAATAGTGTTACGTCATATAGTTTAACAAAGGCTCTTTGCAACCGAGCGTGATAGCCACCAGAGCTACTTTTCATGAAATAGTTTTTGAGGGAAAGAGCATCATGGCCGTACAGTTGCCAATCTTGCTAGTACACTATGACGGAAAACTTTTAATGAGCTCACAAACCTAATACAATAACTGTTTTAGAGTTCGGCTTTTTTAGCTTTCACTTTTAAGTTTGGCCATAACTTTTTGCAACTTGGAAGTTGTTTGCTGTATATATGTCTGAATTTATGAAAACCGTGTCAAATTTGCAGCAAAACATTCACGCCGGTAGGGATAGCCGGTAGGGAGGCCTTTGCGGTGCTTGAAAAGCCAGGGGGAGGCTTCCGTCAAGGAGGGTTGAAGAAGACAGCCCTGGGGCCTGGCTACCAGCTGATACCAAGAGGGGCCGCCAGGCTCAAACCCCTGGAGGGTGGGGTGGGTCACAGAGGGAGGCATTTTCCTCAGTTAAACTGCTCATTTTCTTTGCAGGACAGCCTTGGCCAGCAATGCCCTGCAGCCTTAGGGGCTGGCAGCCAGCCAGCCAGACACAAGCAAGGTGGGTGAGTAGGCTGTGTGTTGACAGACTACCTGTGGTTGATTTGTGAAAAAGCCTGTGTATTTTCTTGGAAAAGTGTCAGGGTGGTTGTGTTGAAATTAGCACGGTTTTCATAAATCCAGACATATATGTATCTTGAAGTAACATTTCTGGCATTGATTAGTTTTAGGGAAAAAAAAAACACATTCAGCGGGGATGTTCCTACAAGGGCACTTTTTAATTTGTTTTCAACAGAGACAAGTAAAAGACATTCATTATTAAACAATGAAACTGAAATTAAGTGAACCATTTAATCTGGAGTTGAACTGATACGCTTATTAATTTCCAAACCTGGGAGAAGTGTTTCTGTGACATTTCGGACAGTATGGTGTTAAAATAACGCTTGTCTTCTTTGTTAATTAGACGATCATGGAATACTCTTTGTGCTTCGTGACAGAACAAGCGAAATATCTGTCCACCATCCCTGATTACCCCTGGGTCTGCCTGAAGGACGCCTATAAGCACATAAATGGATAATAAGTGATAAATAGATCTTATTTCCCCTTAAAATTTCAATACAGGAACACATGGCGCAAGAAAAACCTAAACCAATCTTTTTCTGACTCAAGTCAGTAGTAGCACCATTATAACGATTATAATCAGAAAGGAGAATTTATATGGCGATGCCCAAACTGTCAAAATTAAAGCGATAAGCTTATAATTTTCATATTGCTGCGGCCGAGGGACTGCACAAAGTCACAAACCTTGAATGCATTTGGATAAATCCCTCAAGTTGAACACATAGTGAGATTTAGCTGGAGTAGGAAGCAAGTCTGTGCTCATACGGACATAGATTTCAACACTAAAAGAAAGAAACAAAGATCAATCAACTTCTACAAGCAACTAGAATACCAAGCATAAAAAGGAACCTTCTTTCTCCTAGGACCGTAAGGGATTCTAGGACTAAGAATGCAATAGTTGCAAGCAAACTGGGATTGAGTTGAAAATGGGGGAAGAAAGCATTTTGCATGATTCACATATTAAAGATCAAAAACAAACAAACAAACAAACAAACAAACAAACAACAAAACGACATACCTGGCTCCAACAATTGCGTCAGCACAACTCCTGACATCTTGAGGGAAGTCAACTAAAAATCCACTAACGATAGACTAAGAAAAATGTAATTTAAGAAAAATTATTAGCCCGTGGTCTGAAAATGCATGGGTAACGTGAAAATCATAACTTTACCTTGAAGATGTGTTTGAGAGTGTGCTCAGCAGAAGTTGGAATACTGAACATACTAAAATGACGTAAGAACCGAGGTGTTACTGGGTTTCTACCACCCCCAGGGGGAGCACAAGCCGCACAGATGGTCATGTCCTGTCAACAAGATCACATCAATAGTAAAATGAATTAGACGCGGTCATTCAAATTACCAGCCGATAAACCAGTTGGATAACAATCATTAAATTTTCTATGCATATGTGGAGTACAAAGCTTCAATTTTTTCTGTCTTAACCTTCGGCTTGAAACTGGACATTAACCTACAGGTTTGGTGGAAACGACAGCGGAACGGTTGCACGCGCAGAACGTTTGATAAGTCGTTTGTAAGGCGACTTATCCATGACGGAAACGAAACCGACAAACGGACTTCTAACAGACCGACTTAACAATACACGGACCNTAAATAAGGCGAGAGTTTGTCATGTTTGTAACATTAACACATGTGTTTATTGCTCATCGTTATATTGATGCAGTTTCCATTCAAACAAAATGTCTTTCATGACCTGCTTCCCATTATGCTACAATGAGTCTATTTGATAATTCTAACGTAGCTAAGTTTTATAAGGAGTCAGATTACGTTGCTCATATTATTTCGTTCCCGAATTGGTGTACTTAGCGTGAACAGTCATGCGAGAGGGAGAAGTTGAAGTCACAATATACAAGTGACTTCTGGGGCCAGATCAAAGCGTTGCATCGATAGGTCATTTGACATGACCTTAAAAAGCTTTCAGTTGCATGTGACCATACAGGTGATTTAAAGACAGTCTTACCTTGCCGACACCAGTAGTTCCAGTAAACATGACAGACCTGTTAATAGCCAGCAGTTTCTCCATCAGGAAGCCAAACCGGACGGTATCCACAGTGGGCACTAGCAGGTCAAAGTACGGTATAGCTGAGCTGTACTTGAATGAGGGAATGATCTTTTCCCATGGTTCAAGGCGGCGTGTGTCAAAGTCCACAAAGTAGCTGAAAAGATCACCTGAGCCTGGCAACTATGAATACGACAAATAACAATTTGAGATCAGATTTCAAGGAGAATTTTTGATACTTTAAAATTGCTTGCATTGTAGTTCATTTACCTTAACATCATGTGTATCTGAGAACAAGTCCCTTGTAAATGTGTCAAAAGCATCCATGGAGGTCTCGACCAGGTTACCACCTACACTCCATAGAAAGACGAAGAGAAACGTGGTACAGATGAGGGAATGCAGCTTGTTTGTATCCATGTTGAAATCTGGACCACCCTTCTCCGGGAAGAAAAAGCTCTCCAGAAGACAACACATAGTTGTCACTTTGTTTATGTCCACCTGAGGAAGAAAAAAAAATGTTTCCGTGTAGACAGAAATAAACAATTGCAATGCAGTTTTTGTAAAACTCTTCTAACCTGCTGCATGGCTTGCACACATTTCTTCCGTGCAAAGTTCAGTCCATTGTCCACGTAGTTCTCAAACAAGTTCATGAGATATTCCTTTAAAGAACAGAAGACATAAAGAGCTCAAAAACTTAGAGTGATCAGAGTGCAATCCAAGACAACATAATTAATTAACATTTCGCTAGCAATATAAGAAAGACTTTAATTTTTTCCACATTTTAGGAAATCTAAAGACGTCTTAAAATGAGCATTTGAAATCAGTACCCTAACTTTCTAAATTGCCGGAAATTTCGAAAACAAACAATTGCCATTTTCTTGTATTGCCTGAAAAGCAATTATATTTGCCCCAATAAACGTTTGATAAAATTGATAAATGCATCAAATGGCAAAACCTGAAATAACTGCAATACTTGAATACCTTGGTTTCATCTTTAATTTTTGTACAAGTTCTTTGCATCCAAGACTTAACATAAGGCCTCCATCCTAGTTCATTGGGGTCCATGTACACCATACCACACCTAACATACACAAGAAGTAGATCATCATTGTAAAAGTAGCAGATATATAGACAGCTGCAGAAACATTTAAAGGTAAAAAAGAACCATACAAACAGCCATCACTTGATACAATGCAAGCTTATAAAAACATGTAGAAGGACTTCAGAGTAGGCTTAAAGCTAACTTCCGAGTAGGTTTGTAAATACCGGCTGACTGTGGCAGGAGAGGCCACGGCAAGATCCTGCACCTCAAACAACATATGCATAGTGTTGTTGAGCTTGATTCTCTCACTGTTGGCTAAACAAAGCATCTTATTGTCATCCAAAACTGTGTTCATGTTTTCGATCCATAAGGCGTCCACAGGCCCATCACATACAATCCACTTGTGGTCTTCAGTTGTGTCCTGTTTGAAAGTAAAGAGACCATATCAGTGACTTGTAGAAGAGCTTTACGGTCAAGCGAGGAGATAGTTAAGACACGCTAAATACTTCATTTTGTAAGTCAATCAGAATGCGATTGAAGTATAAAATTGAACTCGTTTATACCTGAACACAGACTCGGACTGTGATAGCCATGAGTCCATCTCTCCACTCCATTGTAAGCTTGTTAATCTCTCCATAAAGCTCACCCATGCTAACAGCCTGCAATATCAAACACAACAATTATTACAAATGAACGAATAACTATGTACATCCAAATTATTATGGTCCAATTAACTACAATCATGATATACTTACACAAGATACAAGAGGAAGGGCATACCTTGGGATTCAGCACGTATGTACGCACTTTTTGGTAATAAGGGTTTTCATCTCCTTCATCGTGCAACGTCGTGAGAGTGTCTTTAAGTATCTGTCCAAAAAAGAATGTAAAAATTCCTTAGGTTTCATCTTATAAATTTATGACTTGTTTATGGCAATTTCTGACGTGCTTGCCTCATAGCTTGTAGTCTTTCCTCCTCCAGTGGGTCCTACAGTCATAACACCATGTCTAACAATCATTGTCTCATACAACTGAATTGTCTTTTTCACCATAGATGGAACAACCTAAACAGAGACATAATGGATTAGTATGTATTTAAGGAACGAACTGATGGAGAATTAACCACAAATGTACTTCTTTCACTTCGTAACTGCAGCTAGTAAGGCTGAGACGGGATTCTCCTGCCTCTCTAAGCAAGGGCACCTCCCGCATGGGCATGAAAGGACTCAATATGGGAACAAAAGTGCCATGTAATACCTGACAACCCTTCTTTAGCAAGCAATCTTCTATGGTGGCCTGCAATTTGCCATAATCGTGATCTGGAATCTCCTTGCCAGGAAAAAGATCTGATAGGATGGCCTACCGAAGGAAATATACAAAGTATAAAGCATTATCGTGTGAGCTGAGAAAACAAGACTATGGACCTGATTTACAGCCGGCTATAGGGCTACTTACTCTAAAGAGCTCAGCATCCTGTTTAAGAAACTTGGGCAAGTTACTGTCCCTGAGAGCTCTTATCAATACAATATCTTCATTCAGACTTGGATTTCCTCTCTTGAGCGCCCCAGCCATAACAAGCACAGACTTGACTGCTCTCATACCAAAGTCATAATGATCCTGTTGCGAGAGCTGTTCGCTGCACAGTCGGTACATTTGGACCATCTTACGAGCAAGGTTTTTAGAAGATTCAAAGCCTTCCGAGTACAGAATTACTTCAGCAATCAAGGCTGGAAAGAGAAGGATTACATGTTTTGAGGAGTTTTATGCAGTATGGTTCAAACTATCGAATTTGCTTGAGTCATTCTACAGTGTGGTCACTGAGAGTGAGCCGCGAATTTTTTTCGGGCTCTAATTTCCCAACTGCTTAAGTTATGTACATGTATGTAACTGCAATGATCAATCATTTCTTCATATCTTTCTCCGCAGTTCACAAATATGATCGTTCATATATTCATTTGTATACTACTAAGTTTGGAAACAAACTTTAAAATTAATGTGACACGTTTTTCCTCTACCAGGGAGTAAAGCAGAGTGTAGAATAAGTTAGAGTTCTGCTAAGTTAAAATCAAAGGCTTTCTAGATCTACGTCAAGGAAACAAAACAGGCAGTATCCTTACCGTAGTCTGGTACCATCATAGCCATTGGTCTAAACAAGGCTTTCAAGTTATCTGGCAATTCTGTGCGACCAGCATATCCTGGGTTCATAGTGATAAATGCTGCACAGCTTGGAATGAGTTTGATTTCACGGCCTTCAAACATGAAACGGGATGCCTGCAATAACAAAAAATAGCTCATAGAAAACGAGGGTGAGTATAGTTGGTCTAATTGTTTAGTAGACACTCCATTGGATTACAGTAAAAAGCCTACAATTTTGTGTATTTTTAAGCCTAAATTTAACAATAATTTCCTATCAGTGATTATATAGTAGGTCGAATTATTCTCACATTTTTAATGGTTCTTACTTATTACCAATTGGAGGACAGAGCACATACATGACGTCATTAACATTCATTTTTGTGGCCATGTTATACAAAACAAGTAGATTCCATGTAGCCGTGCGTCTGTGGAGTAATAAATCACAGAAGGCGTAAAAATGTGATAGGCACATCAGTGACACACTCGTCTATTGCCTCGTGGGCAAATGTTTTTTGTTCTAACCACACTTTGACTGAACAGTTCCTGAATAGACGCACGGCAACATGGAATCTATTTGCTAAGTAAAAAATGAGAGAACCAATCAGATTTGCGAATTTTCAATACAACAGCTGAGGGGCTACTAATTAACAATTAGACCCGTAGCCCTAGCGGGCTACGGGTCAATAGCCCATGAGGCGAAGCCGAATGGGCTATTGACCTGTGGCCCTTGAGGGCGAAGGGTCTAATTGTTTTAGTATCACCCAACTAGTCGGACAGAAAAGGRAATAATAAAGTTAGCAAATGCAAGTTGAAGAAATATTTATTTGGGAATAAAACGAAAGAAAGCGTCACGCTCGATGGCGCCAATTTCGCTACTCGATGACTATTACTAATAGTCCCCTAGTAGCGTAACCAATCAAAATGCAGGATTTGCATTAGTCCACTAGTTGGGTGATCCTAATGAGCAATATCCTTCCATCTGCTGTTTGGTCGTCATGCAACTAGGATAGAATGATGTGGGCCCGCTAAAGACTGTTTACCTTTGCCACCTTAGCGTTTCTAATGGTGAGAAGCTGCTGGGCGATAACAGACAACACTTCAATGTCAATCCTGTTGAATTCATCGAAACAGCACCAGGCCCCTGACTGAGCCAAGCCAGAGAAAAACCGTCCCATCATTTTAAAGTCCAATCCTTCAGAACAGTTGAACACCACACACTGTTTAGCGAGTGCCTTTGCTAAATCCTACACAAGACAAGAACAGGTGTTCAGTGTCAATGCCATGCCATTCATGTGTATTGATATGGAGATGTAAACAGGAAATTTCTCTACCAATCATTCTCAATGGCATATATAATAACTATTGCATAATGTGCCATGTTTACCTTAGTGGTCTCAGTTTTTCCAGTCCCAGCAGGCCCTGCAGGTGCTCCTCCTAGATCAAGTTGTAATGCTCCCATCAAGCACAAGTAGCAACGATCCTGTAAAGACAAAATATCTTACTGAAATACATCTACATGGTCACAGGATATAAAGTTCTAAAAGCTGTTGCTAAAGTCAGTCAGTTGGTGGATGGGTCAGACATTAGAGGGGTTGATGGGTGGGTGGGTTTTCAGGTGAGCAAGCGATCGGTCAGTTAGTGAGCTCTATTTACCTAGATATCACAAACTCATCTATAAGCGTAGTAAACCACCTTGAAATACGTGTTTGAGTGATTCGGGGAATTGAATTTTATCCACAAAACATGCTTACCGTTAGTGGAGTGATAACCAGGCGAGCTGAAGCACCAAGATACTCATAACCATATATGTATAAAGAGTTGGACATGCGCACTACGCAGTTGTCCAGATCTGGATCCCAATAATAACGCAGCTGTTTGACCCACTCAAAACTGTTCACATTATCAACCTGAAAAAATCAACACCATTCATCAGATTTGATACTACTGAAAATTTGCGGAAAACTATGCAAACTAATAATAATAACAATAACAATAACAACAACAACAAAACAATAATAATAATCATTTATATAGCGCCTTTTCCATAAATGCCCAAAAGCGCTTTACTATGTGCGTAGTGAAATAAATTTATTAAATCTAAGACAAAATTTACAAGTTCATCACAGGTATAAAGATTAAAAGTTCTTATTCTAAGTATTGATGTACTATTAATAACTACAAAAGATTGGCATACACCTTAAAAAAACTTACTGATACAAATCTCTTCAGTAACTCAAAGAACCACACATAGTTTGAAGGATACAAGATGTATGATCCAGACGGTAGCCAGAACGTTTTTTTTTTTTGTTAATAGTCGCATATTTGTTACTGGTCACGTTTAAAATCACGTGGCATACTTAACCACTTACAAATAAAGCAGATGTACCTTTAATGAATTTAAGTGGCTGATTTCGTTGATTTTCACGAAGAAATAGCGATGTAAACTGCGTTCGAGTGTGTAGCCTCGTTTCCCTGCTCAGCCGTGGGCTGGGCAAGAAAACATCCCCTCAACTTGAACTTGAACCACTTGAACTTGAACCACAATTCAACTTTACGAACTACCTGGCTTTGATCAGGAGGTCTTTCTCTACAAGAATCAGGTGTCAAACATTTTCTGTGGTGATGGTTGAACGAAACTCCCATTTTTCGGTTCCTGCTCCCTGATTACAGTGAGTAACTAACTAACTCGGTGTTTTAGTTCCCAATCTTCCCGTGAGTATCTCAGGAATCATGATGTGATACAGGAAGATTGGGAACTAAAACACCTGTTGTAAACACAAAATGGCCATGGCATTTATCAATCCTTCCTTGGATCCCCAGATCACCGTTTACTGTTCATACATGTATGCATGATGAGAGTTGTCCAAAAGAGTGCTTCTACAAACCTTTCAAGAGGACTCTACATGATTAAACTCGCTTCGAGGAACACAATAGTCAGTAATACAGGGAACATCGAAGTATGTGACCGTCACGCTCAAAACAGATGAGAAACGTATAAATGTACCCTGTATACAAACCTACCGCTGGAAGAAAAAGCTGGCAGTTTTAATGCCACCTACGTTTCAAGGATTGCTACAAAGGACCAAAACTTTAATCTTGAAGCCAGGTAACAGATCTAAGTGAATTTATCGGAGCACTTTATGAAGGCGAGTATGTTAGTTACTCACTGGAATATTTTCAAAATTTCCTGAACTTTAAGCGGTGGTTTATTGTGAAAACCTAGTAGGCAGACGAATTTTACTATTGTTTTAAATTAAGGGCCATTTATACTTTCTATTCGTGTAGTTCAGCAGTTTCAAACAGGTGCCACATTTTTAAAACGTGCCTTCAAAGTAGAGCTATTTTCGTCTTTGGTTCAAAACTCAATTTAATGGGTAGAAAATCTTCTTTTAACCGTTGAAGGAACAACATTGAATTATAATTACAACATGGCTAAGCAAACTGCTATGATAAATCTATAGCTGAAAAAAAGAATTGGGAATTTTGAGCGAATATTGATTTTTTGAGAGCGTCGGCAATATGTGCTATTTTTCCAGTTTCGGTGGGCATGCAACTTGTGTCGAGCGGACTGAACTTCAATCAATCCTAGAAAAGTTCAATTAGAATTTTTAATCAAATAAAACTAATTTTAGTGATTGACTAGGTAAGGGCTTCGAAATCCAAGCTTATGAGAAAAATTGAATTTTCGAAGTAAAATCAGTGGTTGGTTTTTACAGAGACAGTCTCTGAATCACTGTTAAATTAACTGCCGATTTATGAGAGATTACATAACCTGATGTTCCACCATTCCCGTGACTATATCCCTGGCATGTACATCGATAGTGATTAAAGCACAGAGAATGTTTCTGGTTAGTTTAGGAAGTTCTCCACGAACCAAAGCTGCAAGCTTGTTTAGATTCTAGGAAGAAAAAGAAACATTACAACTCCTAAGATGAACTAGCAACCCTAGCAACAGCATTCCCTTAGTTATATATGTTCTAAAATTACAGTGGGAAAATATCACTAAACACATGTTAATTCCCTCCTTTCTTTCTTCCTTTCAGAGATTACCAAAACACGTAACGTTAAAAACAAAGGACCCCACAAATGAGAATAATTGTAATCAAAGCCTGGCATACCTGAACACACATCTGTTCAGCTCCCTTCATGGCTTCTAGTCTGTCACCTTCTGTGATCAAACATTCAGTGATGTCCTTACACCACATGGTCTGAGAAACTGTTAGAACAATCTAGAAGAATAAATAATTCTATCACAAGTCAAACTTGCACAGGACCCACTGAAAATGGATATACTTTACCCTGGTGTACGAAATGTTTTTTTGTAAGTCAGTTACAAAAGAAGTTCACGTGGTTTTAGTATTGTTATGGTTGTAATTTGTACATCCAGCTATTTAAACTCCTTAAGTTACATGTATATTGGAGGATCAGCTACTGGTGCCATAAAAATATTGAAAATATAAGTTGATATAACAGAAATGGTGTAAATAAATTACACAGTGTAATTAAATTAAACAGTTGTAAAGTTACAAGTTGTAAAGGTTAAATTTTCTTTTGACTGGGAAATGGTTTTATTTTTCTACATCTCAGAGAAAATAACCAAATAGGTGTCCACGAAACTCCCAGATAAATGCATCTTCAAATTAGGGGGTATCACGACCATAAAAGAAGGATAACCAGACAATTCCCTAAGCACACATTTATGGTGAAGCACGTGTGATGACCCAAATGTCCCAGAGGTACTGTTCTAAGTCCTTATATCAAGATCTGTGAAGGTACCTGACTGGGGTGAAGTGTCACCCACTCCTCCCTCGCTCTGCTTTCATAATCAGCAATGGAAGCTTTAGCCAGTTTCCTGAGGGAGGACACCATGGACTCCTCAACCTTGCCCAGCCAGTCTTCCACATTACCTCGAGCCTTCAAGCCCTACAGCAAATAAAATTAGTCTACCTTTTTCTCAAAACTCGAAGAGAGCACTAAAATATCATCAACATACGTCCTACATACTATTGAACAAGCTGTAACAAAATGTTACTTAAGTAACGTGGATTATAGCTGCTTGCAAAATGTCTATTGATGTTAGATTCTCATCAAATCTTTGTCAGCTTTTAGAACCATGATTCGCAAAAAGGATATGTCAGCTGTGTTAGAGGGATGCGGGTGGGATAGTAAATTATGCTCAACTTAGTTTTAAACGAAATACATTGTAAATAATTTAGTATCTTACGTAGTTTTAAGAAAAATGCTGTAAGTAATGAATTTTTAAGTGAAAAAGTTTTAATTTTTAAATGATTGTTAAAAATATTGTATTTTATCTATGTTCCCAATTAGTGCCATTGGCAAGAGAATGACCAAGCACTTTAATAAAGAATATGTATGTATATGTTTCTCAGTAGTTCATGTTGTCATCATTTACGTACAAAACTCTTTTAACAAAACAAATGTACAGATGTACATGAAATGGCTGGAATTGGACCATAATACTGTTAAGAGGTTTGGTTTATACTTTTTAGCACTTCTGTTTACAGTTTGTTACATGCTCAAAGGTTAAAGAGTTTTTTCCCTTACCTTTGTAAGCCCAACTCTCTCTCCTTCTGGTGAGATCATAGCCAGGATGTCATTGGTCTTTGTTTCAGCAGCCTTACTGGCAGAAGTGGCTGTAACAAAACCAGCATCCTTTAGACCACTGTGCTCCAACAGAGAAAATTATACTAGAGCATCGATGATTAAGATTGAAATGTGCACTCATGTCTTGTAATCACTAATTCTGGTAGATTGAGATGTGCTACTTATAAGGATTCACTGATCGGACCATAATACTGTTACATGTAAGAGGCTTAACATTTTCTTTCTTTCTTTCTTTTTTTTTTGCTTTTCAAGCAATTTTTACCATACAAAGATGTGAATGCAAAGAATGGATGCAGATCCAAAAAAAGAGGAAGAAATGTGAAGTGTTAGAGAAGTGAAGAAATGCTCCCTCAATTTTGAGGTAAAGGTCCTTAATTCTAAGGTTAGTGTGTGGCTATACTCACGTCTCTCTCCAGTTGGTGTGACAGGTTTTTCTGCTCCTGATTGAGGAGTAGCAGGTGGTTGAGCGGCAGTTCCAAACTCAAGTCTGAAAATAAATAACAGTATGAACTTTCTATCAAATTATGAACCGAGGATGGACATATGCAGGTGACAATGCAGACAATGTTCAGTTGCATCTAAATCAAGATTTAGAAAATGTTCAAAATTGGCTGACAGCAAACAAACTCACTCTAAATATGACTAAAACCAAATTCATGCTTCTTGGATCTAGGCAGAGGCTAAGTACTCTCACAGAATCCCCGACACTTGCAATTAATGACTCTCAAGTAAGCCAGGTGACTACTGCAAAATCACTTGGAGTGACCATCGATGACAAACTTGATTGGAGTGGCCACATTGAAAAAGTACCAAAGAAAGTCGCTTCCAGCATTGGGGCCATAAAACAAATGAGGCACCTTGTCCCTCAAGCAACCTTACATCTAATATAACAAGCTCTGATACAGTCACACTTTGACTATTGCAACATTGTTTGGGGAAACTGTGGGATAACTTTATGAAATAAATTACAAAAACTACAAAATAGAGCAGCCCGTGGTTTGACCTACTCAAACTATGGCGAGAACCCACATATATTCTAAGGGACTCTGAGAATAAACTAAATGTTCCATTGCCACGCATAAACTATTATAAAAATAGCTTTAGCTATAGTTTAGCCATTCTTTGGAAAAGTCTTCCTTGTGACTTAAGGGAAGNTCGCCAACTTCCTAAGTCACTTTGCCAATGTCCTACTGATCAATTCACCAATGTCTAAATAAAAGTTTACCTTCACTTGTGTGTGTTGTCATTTATTTCAATACCTCACCTAGAATTATTTTCCATGCAAGAGCATCTCATTATTTACGACGACAGTTCTCTGCTACGCTACCCCTCCCGCTAAGATTTTTTTTGCATGAACACTAACGGGGGGAGGAAGCGTAACTGATTTATAACAATCAATACAGCTTGAATGTTACTAAAACTACAAGTTAAAAAGTCTTCAGCAGAGTTAAACAGATCTGTAAGAGACTGGCCTGAATAGTTCGATAATAGCTTTGAACCTTTGACGGTAATATCGCAAGGTTGTGCAGAGCCTGGGTTCATTGTGGCTGCACCGTGAGTACTTTCACAAGTAGCATTTCTTGTTCAATGAAAACAGGTTGGCAAACAGACCATTAATTTTGAGCTTGCTAGCTTTAAGACTGTAACAAACAAAGTGATATCAGCTTTGAGATATTACCATCACTCACGATGATATTAACGTTTTTATCGCACACGTTCTTGTTTTGCTCTGGCTTAATTCATCTTACTACTGGGAATCGATGGGAAACTTAAGGAACAGAGCAAATTTTTGCTAGAGAGTCCGAAAGAAAATTCAAGGAGAGCAAATTTGCGCTCAAAAAATCGGGCCAAATTATCAGTACACATGAATTACTGCTCGAAAATTCGCGTCGAGTAAAACAGTGGGCAGCGGGAAAATTTGTTGAATTTTCTTTGAACTTTCGCGGTGAACAAAACTTCGCCATTTTTCGTTGAAAAGCCCCAAAATTCATGAATTTCATCGAATTACACTCTCATTACTTTGCACAATACTGTACTTGTCATTTGTTCCACTAATAACCGGAAAAATTGCTAGATTCCCTGGTAAATGGTGTTTCAGCTGTTTACATAGCATGTCGAAAGATGGAATGTCGAGAGATGGTCGAAAGATGTCGCCTATGCACGTAGCACTGAAAGCGGGTGTAAAGAAAGATATACTGTACAATTTACTGGCAATGATCGGTCAATGGTACAATAAAGACATAAACGATGGTTGATTTTGTCGAACCAAAACAAGCGAATCGAGTATGTGAGAACCATTGAAGAACTCTCACTGGAATTTGTTCTGCAGACTTTCAAACGCTATTTTCAAAATTTTCTGTTTAAATCCAACCAGCAATTTGTAGATGTACTACCAACAACCTATATCTTACAATCCCACAGTATTTATAACATAGCTGGCAAAGTTGTGTGATCAATCAAGAAGTGTTACGATTGATATACTGATATGTAAATAGCTCGCAACTGTATGCCGCCAACCAACACTTATTTCTCTTTCGATTTAGATAAAAGTTGGAAGATTAATCCTATAGAATTACATGATCACAAAATTGTTAGACTCACAGAGTTTTTCAAAGGTTTGGAAATCAGCAGTGCTACAAACATTCTGTGCAATAGTGTCCAAAATATGACCGTGTAACATCATCTGTGGACTGCTTAGGGAATACATCCTTTTCGTTTATCTGATGAATTTCACTGCAAACTTTGAGAAAAACTTACACTGGTTATTTGGAGTTACGACTTAAAACATGTGACAACGTGCAATCGGTAATTGTATGGAATGTTTCCCACAGCTTCAAAAATAGAGGTCCAAACAATTCTATGATTTTCAATTGATTGAAGCCAGTGTTTCGGAGGTCATCAAGTCTCGAAAACTGCAACACTTATGTCGCTCTTATAAACATGAAGCATTCCAGATAGTAAAACACAAACTGAATTTAATACAACAGCCATACCTCAACAAAATAAATTCTCGCTAAGGACAAATGTAAACGGGCTAAAAACATGCGTTAAAATCTTGTGTTTAGGTGACGAAATTACCATCTAAAGCGGTCCTTGAGTCAGCTCTCCCGCTTTTCATTTACCTGCTCCTCCACTTCGTATCTAGCTTTCCATTCCTAATATACAAGCAGCTCGTCCGCAAAGAAGTCTTCCCCATCGTCGCTTGAAATGTTGCAAATTGCTCTCAAAGCTCCAAGCATTGAGTTCACAAATGTCGAACGTTTTTTTCGGAGTCTTCAGAATCGAAACTTACCTCTGACTCCAGTGACGAAAAAGAAAATGATTCTGAAACAAAACTTGAACGTTTCAGTCCCAAAATATATTGGAATGATTAGTTTTGTTTTCCATTTTCTTGAGTGAATACAGAGAGCTGACTGTGTTTGGTTCCTGGGTAGATGTCATCAGCAACCGCAGCCCCAGACTACCTAAAACCTGGTCGCACAACACTTCAGGGGCAACTTTGAACGGGCATAGAAAATCGAGGATTCAACCAAATTAAAAAATGTTTTCATTCAAGTGCTTCGAACAAAAAGTAGATTCAAAGTAAAATCAAGAAATTAAAACAACTATTTACAATGACTATATATAAAACAATTATTCATCCTGTTTGTCCATTAAATATAATACCTTGGAAAAATAACACATTTGGACTCCAGATAAGCCTCCAGACACTTCTGAATCTGATCTAAGAGAGCATTATTGTTCTGAAATATCTCCAGCAATCCTGCAATAAACAAGAAACATGTATTTTACGTTCTATTCTCTAGCAGGAAAGAAGACTTGTTAAACCAATTTAGTATCAGATGATTTGCAAGTCTGGTTTAGTTGGGTCATGACTGGCTGCACATACTGGAAAGCCAAGATGAGAAAAGTATATGTGGCAGTGATCTCTGTCTACCGGTGTTACATGACTATTGCACACAACAAAAACAACTCTTTATTTATCCCATTTAGTAGTTTACAATTATTTCACATTATTTTTTCATGTTTCATACTATTTCACATGATTTTTACACACCAGGTTGAGTAGCAGCCCTGAGAGCATTGGGCAACCGATGGACTTTTCTCATGACTTCCTTCCATGACTTGTCTACTGTCAAAAACATCTTAGCCTCAGCTGGCAACTGACGCTGGATGTCTGGTGCACTGAAGATACTCTCAAGGTATAACCAGTTACGCTGGCATGTCATCCACTCATCCTAGAAAAACAGGGAATAGAGGACTATCAGTGACCTCTTGACCNAAGCAGTCCTTGAGTTTTCTTTCCTGCTTTTCGTTTGCCTGCTCCTCCACTTCGTATCTAGCTTTCCATTCCTAATATACAAGGAGCTCGTCCGCAAAGAAATCTTCCCTGTCGTCGCTTGAAATATTGCAAATTGTTCTCAAAGCTCTAAGCAGTGAGTTCACAGTTGTCGAACGTGCTCGATCGAAGTTTATTTCGGAGTCTTCCGAATCGAAACTTGACTTTGACTCCAGTGACGAAAAAGAAATGATTCTGAATCAACACTTGGACGTTTTAGCCCCAAAATATATTTGAACGATTAGTTTTGTTTTCCATTTTCCCGAGCAAATACAGAGAGCTGACTAAGGCGCATTGTGTTTGGTTCCTGGGTACACGTCATCAGCAACTGCTGCCCCAAACTTCCTGAAACGCGGTCGTGTAACACTTCAAGCGCGACTTTGAAAAGGCATAGAAAATCGAGGATTCAACTAAATTCAAAAATTTTTTCGCCCAAATGCTTCGAATAACAAGTAAATTCGTTTGAGCGAAAAAAATTTTGGGGTTAGGTGCACTTTAATGAAACTGACTGACGGTAAACACATAACTTTATTTCGTTTTAGAAACAAACAAGGCCTATTTTACCCTATGCAAAAAGCTTTCCACTCAGCTTAGTTAAGTTAAATGCATTGAATAATAGGAAAGAAAAGTTTAAAGAGCATCAACAGAAATTGGAAAGTTTTAAGTATAGCTTACTCAAGTCTCTTGGCTTATTTTGTTAAGCACTGATCAATGATAATGATGCCCCTCTTAATAAAGTAAGTCTTTCTCAAGGTTGGTTTCATTTGCGCATNCTCTCAAAGCTCTAAGCAGTGAGTTCACAGTTGTCGAACGTGCTCGATCGAAGTTTATTTCGGAGTCTTCCGAATCGAAACTTAACTCTAACTCCAGTGACGAAAAAGAAATGATTCTGAAAGAAAACTTGGACGTTTTAGTTCCAAAATACATTATAACGACTAGTTTTGTTTTCCATTTTCTCGAGCAAATACAGAGAGCTGACTGAGGCGCCATTGTGTTTGGTTCTTGGGTAGACGTCATCAGCAACCGCCGCCCCAGACTCCCTAAAAGGCGGTCGTGCAACACTTCAAGCGTGACTTTGAAAGGGCACAGAAAATCGAGGATTCAACCAAATTCAAAAATGTTTTCGCCCAAATGCTTCAAATAAAGTGTGGATTTGTTTTAGCGAAAAAAAGAAAATTGGGGTTAGGTGCACTTTAATATTTTAAGCTTGAGTCGGACTGAAAGGTGAACGATCAAAACATGTCTGCTGTTCCGTTTGATTCCTTTCCACGTCTAATGATCGAGATAAAGTCAAATCGAGTGTGAATTCTCTGTCAATGTTCATGAACTGGGTCTGACAAAGGTCTTTAATTAGTCTTACCTTCAAAGCTGTTTTCGAAATGTTTACTATTTGTTAACAAATTAAAAGGTGTACAGTACGATAGATATTCATGTACATTGAGACTGTGGCTGTGACAAGTGTAGATTCAAGCATTTTGGGTTCAGCTGACCTGCGAATTTACGTCATCAATATTCTGACTAGTAAGGATATGGAAAAGACGTCACTCGGTTGCCGGATGTAGTTTCGTATGAATTTTATAAGCGGTGTCTTTTCCAGTAAAAGACTTCTGTCTATATGATAAATATCTTTCTTTTTTTCGAAACAATTAGTGTGGTTCTAACAACTGGGGGAAATAAGGCTGTTGTTAGCTTTTATACGAATGTTCTTGAAATTTTGATCAGTCTTAGCCTGAAGCGTGTTGTATCG